TCCAGCAACAAATTTCCTCAGCTGCTGTTGGTCTGAAAAAGTCTTTATTTCTCCTTTACTTTTGAAGGATAATTTCACTAGAGAGAGGAATCCAGGTTGGTGGTATTTTTCATTCGACATTAAATATTTTACTCCATTCTCCTCTTTGTTCAATGGTTTCTGACAAGAAGTTCCCTGTAATTCTCATCTGTGTGCTTTCATAGGTAGGGTACTTTTTCCTCTGCCTACTTTCAAGATTTTGTCTTTGGTTTTCTGCAACTTAAATATGACATATGTACATGTAGATCCTTAGCATTTACCCTGCTTAGTGTGCACTGAGATTCCTAGACCTGTGTTTTGTCATCAGCATTAAGTACTTCATCTATATCTGCTCCATTTTCTCGATCTGGTTTTCCAATTATGCATACGTTACACCTTTTGAAATTGTCCCACAACTGTTGGATATGTTGTACTTTTATAAATTACTGTTTTTTCTCTTTGCATTTCAGTTAGGAAAGTTTCTATTAACCTATTTCTTCAGCCCACTGATTCTGTCCTCAGCTGTGTCCAGCCTGCTGGTGAGTCCATCAAAGGCATTTTTCATTTTTGTTACGGCGTTTTCTAATATTTCTTTTTGAGTCTTTCTTAAGAGTTCCCTACTCTCTGCTTGCATTACCCATATGTTCTTGTATGCTACTTCTTCCATTAGAGTCCTCAATGTAGTAATCATAGTTAAATTCCTGATCTGATAATTCTAAAATTAGTAATAAGTATGTATCTGACTCTATTTCTGATGCTTGCTTTGTCTCTTCAGACTGTTTTTTTCTTACCTTTTACAATGCCTTATAATTTTATTTTTTGCTTAAAGCTGGACGTGATGTATTGAGTAGTAGGAACGAGTTAAATAGCTATGTGTCAATTATGTTAATGTGGCTAGAAGCTGGGCTATGCTTTTTTTTTTTTTTTTTTTTTTAGACAGGGTGTCACTCTGTTACCCAGGCTAGAGTGCAGTGGCATGATCTCGGCTCACTGCAACCTCTGCCTCCCGGGTTCAAGCAATTCTCCTGCCTCAATCTCCTGAGTAGCTGAGAGTACAGGAGCTGATGCCTGGCTAATTGTTGTATTTTTAGTAGAGTCAGGGTTTCATCATGTTGACTAGGCTGGTCTCACACTCCTAACCTCAAGTGACCTGCTCACCTCAGCCTCCCAAAGTGCTGGGATTAAGGGCGTCAGTCACAGTGCCTAGCCAGGGCTGTAGATAATGTTTATTGCAGCTATAGGTATCAGAAACTTCAGTTTCCTCCAATATTCTTGGTTTTTTTCTCTCTGTTGTCTTTGGTTTTCCGTAAGAATTCCTTCGTAAACAGAGTATGTGTCTTGCAGCTCCTACAGTTATAATGTACTATTATCAAGGTAGAGGCCTGTTGACATACATGGTGGTAAAATGAGGAGGGAAGCATCCTATAATGTAATGATTAAACCTCAGTCTTTCAGTGAGCCTGAATGCTTGTGCTGTGATCTTCAAAAGTATTCGTCATCTTTTTTTTTTCCCCTCCAGCATGTGAGACAGGAAGGCTAGAGGAAGATGGAGTTGGCCAACTGTCCTCCTAGGTTGGATAAAGCTCTGGAACTCTTTTTCCCTTGTAAAGTAAGCCATGTTATTGAGAATACTCGGGACATACTGCAAAATGCTTCCTTCTCTTTTACTCCTAACAAAAACCATAGGGGACATTTCTCAAAATTTCACAAAATAACCTGATAAGCTTCCTAGAGGTAATACCCATGCAAGTGAGGAAGTCCCCCAAGAACAGGCTTGCAGAAGTTTGTTACTCTTAAAACAGTCTGTACTTTGCCCTCAGCAATTCATCCAAATCACCATTTATGTATTCTACATAAATGGCACTAGTGTCTTCTGCTTCAGATAAGATGATCTTCATTGTATTTACTTGTCTCTCCAGATTTCAGGTAACAATTTGTCCTGTGACCTCAATTCTCTGAAAGGTCTAAGAAAAATTATTTTTAGTTTTGTTCAGCTTTTTTTTTTCTTTTCTTTTTCTTTTTTTTTTTTTTTTGAGACAGAGTCTCAAGTACAGTGACACAATCTTGGCTCATTGCAACCTGCACCTTCCAGGTTCAAGCAATTCTTGTGTCTTGGTATCCCAAGTAGCTAGGATTACAGGCAAGTGCCACCATGCCTGGCTAATTTTGGTACTTTTAGTAAAGGTGCAGTTTTGCCTTGCTGGCCAGGCTGGTCTCAAATTCTTGGCCTCATGTGATCTGCCCACCTCCGCCTCCCAAAGTGCTGGGATTACAGGCATGAGCCACCACACTCAGCCTCAGCTTTTCTCTTATTGCAAGGAGAAGAGTGACAAATTCCAAGTTCTACGTGTCAGAGCTGAAACTGGAAGTCCGCTATTTATTTTTAAAAAATTCTATACTAAATATTTTCTTAATGCATAACATATGCCAACTATAAGTTTTGAATAGGTAGTAAGAAGCAAATAAATGCTGAAAAAAATACCCTAAAAATCTAAAAGTAACTACTTCACTAAGGTTTAAGATACACACTTCATCATGATATTGTCATAGGGGTAAAAGCACTAAAAACATGGTCCCTGGTGATACTATTCCTAGATGCTTCCTTCAGCCTAGAAAATATCTGAGCGATTACACAAAGTATTAATGTCATTGGAAAATCTCATCTCTTAGTGCCAAGGTCCTAATGTTTATTAGGTTTTAGGTTGAAATGTTTAAGCATAATCGAAACAAAACATTATGAAGTTTTAGTATTCCTTTTCAACCTTTAACTTACAGGACACTGATTTTTTATTTTTTTTATTCAGTATTCCATACTAATTTTTTAAATAAGGACATACAACTTTCTAATATAATACAATAAAGGAAGGTAATCCATTTTGAAATTATACAATATACTCCCTTCCAGCTAAATGGTCAACTGCAAAATGTAAGGTTAACAATTAGATAAAACTAGATAAATTGATACTGTTTATCTGACATGCAACATTTACCCAACTTTATAACAGATTCGTAAACTAATCTTTTTCAGGTTTTCAGAAGAGTTCACATATGCAATTGCATGTATTGCCACCATATTCAAATTTTAAAATAGAGACAAAAAATTGTATTTAATATGAGGCTCAGAGGCTGAAGTCAGGAAATACAATTAAATATAATCAAACCAGCCTTCAATATCACTTGAGATAATTCATAGAGCAGAGGCTTTTATATGTTCAAATTTGTACATCAATGTCTAAAAGAATCATGCATATATAACAATGAAGACTACGGATGTAAAATGTAACTTTATCGTATAATATCTTTAAAACTTAGATGCTCAATAAACACAAAAAGATGCTCATATCACCAGAGAGACGCACAAGAACCAGAAGCAAATTAGGCAATGAAGTCACAGCCACCTTGATCTCATCTCAAATTAACTAAAGGAAACCTCTTAGAACAAACCACTCTTGAATGGAATGCCTATCGAGCATTCCACATGTTATACCTTTTGAAACTGTCCCACAACTCTTGGATGTGCTGTATTTTTATAAAGTTATGTTTATGTTTTATGAAGTTATATTTAAGTTATGTCTTTCTTTTTTTTTTCTCATTTTTTATTTTTTGGAACTGTGAACATGCTAGAATTCTCACAAATTTAAAGGAGGTAGTTTGCATCTCCATGGTATTACTTCTTCCATTTAGAAGCCTTGCAGCATGGAGTCCTGGTCTCTCCCCAGCTTTCAGGGTTCCTCTCAAACTGGCCCTGCTTAGCAGTAACATCCCTGCTAAATCTCGCTTTCTTCTGGGCTACTCCTTCTGTCTGTTGGACCTCTGCACCCACCTCCATACCCTAAATCCAAATCTTATTCAATTGTCAAAATCAACTGTTATGGTCTGAATGCTTATATGGCCCCCAAATCCAAAGGTGAAACCCTATGCTCAAATGTGATGCTATTAAGAGGTGGAGGGGGTGCCTTTGGCAAGTAACTAGGATCAGTTGGGGTCATAAGGGTGAAGCCCTCTAGAGTCCCAAGAGAGGTTGCCTCCTCTGTCCACCATGACTGGACAGCAAGAATGCCACCTGTGAATCAGAAAGGTCTTCAGATGTCGAATTTGCCAGTGCCTTGATCTTGGAGCTTGAGTCTCAAAAAATTATGAGAAATAAATTTCTATTTTTATAAGCTACTTAGTCTATGGTATTTTGCTATAGCAGTCCAAGCTGACTAAGACACATACCTACTCCACAAAGTCTCTCCTAACCCACACTGGATTTTCTCCTTTGTTTAATCCTGAGGTGTCTACGTGATTAGCAGGCCACAGTTTATCACTTAATCATTCTCTAAATATGAGAGAGAAAGCTTCTTTAAAGTAAAGAACATGGTTTATAACAGGGGTTCCCAACCCCCGTCTGTGGCCTGTTAGGAACTCAGCCACACACATGAAGGTGTGTAATGGGCAAGTGAGCATTACCACTGAGCTCTGCCTCCTGTCGGATCAGCGGCAGCATTAGATTCTCATAGGAGTACCCTGTTGTGAACCGTGCATGCGAGAGCTAGGTTGCACACCTGATAATCTGAGGTGAAACAGTTTCATCCGGAAAACCATCCCCCTGGTCCCGGTCCGTGGAAAAATTGTCTTCCACAAAACTGGTCCCGGGTGCCAAAAAGATTGGGGGATGCTGGTTTATAATACTTTTATCCACCATTCCTCCTAGTACAACCCTAGAAAAATTAATACACGGTCAATAAACACACAGTTGATTACTAACTGATAAACAAAGAAGGCAAATCATAGGTTGTTTTATCTACCCATATTCTTACAGAAAATTACCTGAAGAGTTAAAAAGTCCCCCAAAATCCTAAGTTTACCAAAATATGGCACCACGGGCCTAATGCCACAAGCAGAGGTTTCCACTGGTATAACTCTTAACCTTAGCAGGGTTTCTAGAAACATGACCCTCCACTCACTGTAAAGGAAAGTAGACATTAACAAGGACATACCCTCTGATGTTTTAAGAATCTTCTTGTCTTTTGGAGCCAGTGCATGCCCAGCGTGACTGATAATCCAAACTGGAAAGCGTCTGTTTGTCAAAGAGTATAAAGCCTTTGCAAATGGCACATAAAAGGCAGAAAAACCTGGGTTACCTAATAAAAGAAATACAGATGTTAGATTTATCAAAGTAATACACATGCATAAGATGTCATGTAGACTAGAAAAGATGGGTCTGTTTCTCTTCACACTTTCCTCTGTATTCTTCAGAGTATGCAGGGAGAGACATCTTCAAACTTCCATTAAATTCACAGCAGTACCCTATTTAAACGACCTTCAGTGGCTTCCAGATAAAGTCATCTGGAAAAAGCCTAAAATCTGTATGCTCCACATAAGGCGCTTCAAGATTTGGTCATGCTCAGCTAACAAGGTGCATGAAAACCAGAAAAACAAGCCAGCAAAATAGTGTAAGAAGCATGCACAAGGAGAGCTTTAAAGAGTCAACTGTTTCCTTGTCACTTATCACCAGTACTTATAATTGTAAACAGGTGTACGGCTTGATCTTTTGGGGAAACAAATGTCTACAAGTACATGTAGATTTTTCTTATGTGTGTACAGAAGGTATTTTTGACATGAGTTTGCTATAAAGAAACAGAATAAATAAACGATCTTTTTAAAAATATTCAATCTGATATATCTGTAGGAGGAAATTACAGTGAAATGGGATTTTCATCTTGTAATCATCAACTATATAAAGTCTTCAAAGCATTTCCATCAATATCTATTTCTCTGATCAGTTTATCTATTTCCTCATGTTGTTAGGCTATCTTCTCTCTGCAATTACATGACATGGTTCTGGAGCACTGATGTAAATAACCACTGCCATCCTTGTCAAATTTTGCTAATTTCTTCTCTGTTTTTTTATATCTTTCCGTTTACTAGATAAGCAGTGTAGTAAAGTGGTTAAGAGCATAGGCCCTGGAAGCCAGACTGCCTGGGTTGGAATCCTGGCTTTGCCATTTACCAGATGTGTTGGCTTTGGCCAAATTATATAACATCCCTGTGCCTTGGTTTCCTCATCGAAAATGTGTAATAATGGTACTATCTCATATGAAGACTAAGTGAATCAATATATGTAAAGCATTGTTACACTGCCTGAAACATAGTAAGTACTAATAAATGCTAAGTATTCAAACCTGTACAACAATGCCTAGCTAAAATGGTAATATACAATGACCTTGGCATCCATATTATTTTGCTTCTGTTGTATTCTGACCTAGTGATCTAAGTTTCAAACTCCTTTTTGTGATGGTGCTTTTGGCCTCTTTGTCAAATAGCATAAAAACTTCCTCAAATGCAGAAATATGTTCTCTGGTCAGTTTATTGGGCACTGTATAGCTAAAGGAGAAGGAAGGAAGGAAGGGCATACCAGTACAGGTAACATCGATGGCAGCTGTGGTTGGCACTGTTTCATGTTTTATGCATTTATGTCTTCAATACGTTTAGAATAGTTTTTAGTAGAAAATACTAAATAGCAATCCAACTTTTTGCCAAGTGACTGACCAATTGTTCCAAGACCATTTATTATATAATCCATTCTTTCTGCATTGATTTGAAATATCTTCTGACCTAATACTACCTTTTTACATTCGCTTGCTAATTCTAATATCAAATAATTAATTCAGTTTATTTTTCCTTTTCTCCTCTGCTAGGACCATACTGTCTTAATTACTACATTTTTTAAAATGTTTCAGTAACCGGTAGGGCAAATCCCTTCTCTTTATTCTTCTTTTTCTGAATTTTCTAGGCTGTTTCATAAACTTTAGGGTCATTTTCACTAGTTTCAATTTTTAAAAATCCCTTTGGGATTCTGACTAAAATTTTATCTCATTAATGTATTACTTCATAAAAAATTTATATTTTTTATATTATTGAGTATCACCTTCTAGGAATGTGTTATACCTCATACTCACGTTTTATGTTGCTCATAGATTTCTTCATGTGGCTTGACAATAATAATTAATATGTTTAGGCACTATAACTTATTACATGCCAGGCAGTGCTTAGGTGCTTTACATATATTATTTAATTATCATATGAGATAGTACTATTATTACTTCCATTTTATGGATGAGGAAACTGAGTACAGAGAGGTTAAATAACTTGCCCAACATCACATATATGGTAGGTGCTAAATAAATATTTGATGACTGAAAGTATATACAAAAGAAAATCATAATACTGAATTTTTTAAAAACATCATTTAATCTGGTGTAGGATCTTCTGCATTACTTGTTTTAGTTATTTTTACGATATCTCTAAAAAGTAGTTGGCACTTTCATTAGAAATAATGAATGGAGAGCCACTTGTGCAAAACTTGGCACATGTTAGGGGCTGAATAAATGGCAGCTATTAAAACTACAGCTATTACAACAATTAAAAACTGGTGTAACATTAAGGAGATGCCAAAGATAACCCCATGATTTAGATGCGTTACAACGACAGGATATACAAAAAACAGTGAGTACTAGATAATGGATACTTAATGCATGCGGGGCTTAAAACCTAGATGATGGGTTGATAGGTGCAGCAAACCACCATGGCACATGTATACCTATGTAACAAACCTGTACATTCTGTTCATGTATCCCAGAACTTGAAGTAAAATTTTTTTTAAAAAATGAAGAAGAATAAATAAAACAAAGTTTTCTCCTTATCTCTGGGTTTAAGCCTGAGTTCTTAAGCTTTCTGATCCACTATTTTATCACCATCAAGTAAATAATGATGTCAATTACTTATGTTCACTCATTCTATTCAGAATTACAGCTTCTTTTAGCTGTCGATTATTTATTGAGCACTTACTGTATGAAAGTCACTATGTCAGGCAAAAGACAGATGAAGGTCTTTTTGGAATTTATATACTAGTGGGGGAATATACAGCACATAACTAAATAGGTAAGATAATTAAAGAGTGTGAAAACTTCTATAAGAAAATAAATAGGGTCACATGATAGAGAAGAGATTAGAGTAAAAAAAAAAAATCTCAGGAGGTGACATGTAGCTGAAACCCCAAAATGGCCTTGATATAGTTTGGCCTCCCTTTGCTCATTTCACTGCTTAAAGAAAGTCAAAGGACAATGTTACTTAACAGAAATCCAAGGTCTAAGGTTCACTGGAAAAGATGAAACTAAATTAAAAGTTCTTCAATCCATAGATTCTGATCAATCACTCATCATTCTCATTACTAACTTAGAAGTGAAGAATTAATTTTGCAAACTACAAAAGCAACATGATTTAAAATGAAATGCTATGTCAGTCTATCAGAGATGGACATAACATGGTGCCCATTGTGGCTTCACAATCCTTGAAATACTGTTATTCTGATTATTCCCACAGTGTAAATAAATTAGCTCCCCACAAAACCTGCCAAAAAAAAAATACAATTCTGAATCCCACATAAGCAGAGCAAACATAAGAGAACACTAGGAAATGAAATGTGATCTGAAAATGTCAAAGCACTGTAAACAATGAGACTATCAAACTACAAATGTTTTATGCTCCCTTCCATCCTCAGTGTCTTCACTGAATGCTTCCTTTATCTCCTCTCTGAAATCTGGCTCTCCCCTGTAATGGGCTCTCTTCCTTTCAATCCTCTTCAGCAGTGGCCTTGGTCACTCTTGTCTAACACCGCATATAACTCAAGGAGAGCAAAGACTTATGCAACACATATTCCTAGCGCCTAGGATAAAAGAGTGAGAGAATAAATACTATTTCCAGGTGGGGAAGTGTGTGCATTGTCTGTCCCACTTACCATTTCACCTTACTATTAGAACAACCTCTTCTCCTTTAAGACTCAAGCCATCTGTTTCCATCTATCAACTTTTTAGTCACTCACACACTCCCTGAAAGCCTTGACCCTTAAATGACAGTTTCATTTGTTATGTCATGTCAGGACATTTCAAAATCCAGTTGGACTGATTGAGCCAAAAATTTTGTCCCATAATTCATTATTGTGAGCAAATCCAAATAACCTCACCTACATTAAACTTAAGCTGCCAGGACTGTTGCATCCTGGCAGAAGAAAAGTTTATTCCCAGAAGTGGTTAAACCAAAGAGAAATTCTGAATCAGGAATCTCAGTACAGCTGAGAATGGAAGTACTATACTGAGAAGAAGTTAGACTAGGCATAACCAAACACTGAAACTCCTAATATCTCCTCTCCCCTGTTCCTCTCTGAACAGTAACAGACAGGTTTCCACTCTTCAAACAGGAGCCTGGATGATTTCTCCCTGGGAAAACTGAATAATAAAAGAAAGAGCTTCAGACACTGAAAGTTGGACATCCCTCAATGAAATGCTGGGTCCCTATTCAATAACCTCAGGACGAGGCCCACCTAGGGTGACTAACCCCTCTGTTCCACTTGAGACTGTCATGGTTTTAGTACTGAAAGTCATACGTCCTAGAAAACCTCTTGGTCCTAGGCAGCCCAGGATGGCTAATCACCCAAGACACACCTCTGAATAAGCCGCAGCTCTGAGTCCAAAGCTTCCAATTTGCTTTTTGTCTTCCTCTTAAACATGAATGGCTAGTCAAGGATTGCCAGAGATCTGAGGAAAACTAAAGACTTGTGCAAAAAGAAAAAGGAACACAGTGAAAATTCTTACACAAAAGACAAGAAAAAGAAAAAGAAAATGATATTTCATCCATTAAACATGAGACTACAAAAAAAAAAAAAAAAAAAAAGAAAGAAAAACAAAGAGGCATTAGAATGAATGAGTTTCTGGCTTAAAATGGCCTACCAAAACCCAGGTACACTGTATAAAAAGATAGTCACCACTTTCGAGGCGGGTGGATCACGAGCTGAAGAGATCAAGACCATCCTGGTCAGCATGGTGAAACCCCATCTCTACTAAAAATACAAAAAATTAGCCGGATGTGGTGGCACATGCCTGTAATCCCAGCTACTTGGGAGGCTGAGACAGGAGAATCGCTTGAACCCAGGAGGCCGAGGTTGCGGTGAGCCGAGAATGCGCCATTGCATTCCAGCCTGGGCAACAAGAGCAAAACTCTGTCTTAAAAAAAAAAAGTCACACCAAGATGCTTCACTGTAAAATTTCAGAATCTCAGAACAAAGGGAAGGTCTCCAAAATGTGGGTAGAGAAGCTTCACATACAAAAGGTTAAAATCAGAAATGATAACAATACTTCTTATAAGCAGCTCTGAGTGTTGGAAAACAATGATTAATGCCCTCCATTAATGTTCTCCATTTTCCTCCTAAAGAAAAATTATTTCTAACCCAGAGTCTAAGACACTTTCCAGCATGCTGTGCTACCTCCCTTGCACCTCTTCTGAGGAAGCTACTAGAAGGTGTGCTCCACCAAAAACAAGAGAATAAACTAAGAAAGATAAAAATGTGGAATCTGAGAAACGGGGGATCTAAGCCAGGAGAAAGTGACAGAAATCCTCAGGAAGGCAACTGTGCAGCAGGCCTGGGGACCAATCAGTTCAGATGAGCCACAGGACAGAACATTCTGAAAACTGACTGATTACTCAAATGCATTGAGAGGATTTTCTCACTTCTAGAGAATAGTTCTAGGATAAATGGGTGATTAAAGCACTAAAAACTCAGCAAAAAAATAACAGGACACCATTAACCCAGGGAAACCAAACAAAAATACATAAGAAAGGAAATACATGTATAATTCCCTATAGGATTAGCTATATATAATATGATATAATAGTCAAAATAATAAAAGCATTGCATATTGATCTAACCAAAAACTGCAATATTCCCATACTAGGAAGACAGGTAGAGAAGGAGGGGTATATGATTGTGTATGGAGAAGGGAAAGTATAAGAAAGCAAATCTTTTTCTTTCAGGAGGAAGATAACAGATAATATCTAATATTAAAAACTCAAGAAAATCACTGGAACCCTGGAGGCGGAGGTTGCAGTGAGCCAAGATTGCACCACTGGACTCCAGCCTAGGCGACAAGAGTGCAACTCAGTCTCAAAAAAAAAAAAGAAACAAAAAAACAAAACAAACAAAAAACCCTCAAGGCTGGACATGGTGGCTCATACCTATAATCCTAGCACTTTGGGAGGCCGGTGGATCACCTGAGGTCAGGAGTTCAAGACCAGCCTGGTCAACCTGATGAAACCCCATGTCTACTAAAAATATAAAAATTAGCTGGGCGTGGTGATGTGTACCTGTAATCCCAGCTACTAGGGAGGCTGAGGCAGGAGAATCACTTGAACCTGGGAGGAGGAGGTTGCAGTGAGCCGAGATTACACCACTGCACTCCAGCCTAAGTGACAGAGGGAGACTCCATTTCAAAACAAAAAACAAAACAAAACAAAAACTCAAGAAAAAGAAATATAAAGATTTCATTTAGAATGTGAAGTAAAAGCCAGGCACAGTGGCTCACACCTGTAATCCCAGCACTTTGGGAGGCTGGGGCGGGCAGATCACTTGGGACCAGGAGTTCAAGACCAGCCTACCCAACATGGTGATGCCCCGTCTCTACTAAAACTACAAAAATTAGCCAGGCATGGTGGCAGGTGCCTGTAATCCCAACTACTTGAAAGCCTGAGACAGGAGAATCACTTGAACTTGAACCCAGGAGGTGGAGGTTGCAGTGAGCTCAGATTGCACCACTACACTCCAGCCTGGGCAAGACAGCAAGACTCTGTCTCAAAAAAAAAAAAAAGGGGGGGGGGGAAGTGGGGCAAATATCACAGGAATATACCAGTGTTAAAAGTGTTTTCCTCTGAGAACATTTGTTGGAACTAGAAAGCTGATTTTTTGGTTACTATTTATTTTTTAAAGATATTAATATTGATGTTATATATTAATGGGGTACATGTGATATTTTGTTACATGTATAGAATGTGTAATGATCATGTCAGGGTGTTTTAATACATTCATTTTGAATATTTATCATTTCTACGTGTTGAGAAAAATTCAAGTCCTCTCTTCTAGCTACTCTGTACCAATACAATACATTATTGTTATCTATAGTCAGTCTACTCTGCTGACTATCCAATTCTCTGTTGGTATAAATAAGGTCCAACAATAGAACTTATATCTTTCATCTAACTGTATTTTTGAACTTGTTAACCTACCTCTTCATCCCTCCTCCCAGCCCTACACCCTTCCTGGCCTCTAGTAACTATCATTCTACTCTCTGCCTTTATGACATCAATTTTAGGAAAGTTGATTTTAAAGTTCATTTAAGCTTTTTTTTTCCCCTTCCTAATGAAGCCAAGAAATATATTCTGCAGCCAAAAGAAAAGAGGCCAAAGAATATTTTGGAAAAGAATAAACATGAACAAGTTCCAAAAAATATGTAAAAGTATCATGAAACTACAGCTATTAAAAAACATGAAGAACACATGAAGAGGCAAAAATCATAGAAAGAGACTCCCAGCCACAGGATAATCTACTTTAAGAAAAAGTTAGCATTGCAAACCAGTAGGGAAAAGGCAGATTATTCAATAAATGGTTGTGGACCAAGTAATAAGCCATCAAAGGAGGGAAAGAAGAAAACTAGATCCCTTCCTTAGTCCCTGCCCTTAAAATCTAGATGCATCAACTTAAAGATTACAAATGAAACTGTAAAAACACTAGAAGACATGGAAGAATTGTTTTATAATCTTGGAGTAGGAAAGCCCTCTCTAAGAAACTCATAAAACCCTTAAGTCTTAAAGGAAGAGACTTATCATTTTGGCCACTTAGCAATGACACTTTCTGTACAACGAAATAATCATTGTATTGATGTCAAAAGACAAACCAGGAAAGATTCTTGTCACATATGACAAATACAACACAATTTTACAGTTGTGTAAGAATCAACTGAAAATCAATAAGGAAAACATTGAACACACAATTGAAAAATGAGTGAGGGCTTCAAATTAGCAGTTCACAGAATAAGAACTTTCAATGTATTAAAAACATGTATATTCAAACTCACAATTTAAAATGCATTTCAAATACCTGCAATCACTCAGGCATCTGTCCCTAACATTCTATTGACAGTGATCTAGCAAAAGTTACCAGTGATTCAGATGCCAAATCTCAGAATAAATGTTCTATAATAAACACATAATCATCTTGAAATGAGGCAGGAAACATTTAGAAAACTGGCAAAAATATTAATGAAGTTTTAAATATTAAGAAATGTTTTAAAAAGCACATTACAAAGCTGCATATATGGTATACACTTCCAACTGTGACATACGTACATGCATATAATAGACAACATAATATAAATACGCAGAAGAAAAACAGAAAGTCCAGCCATCAAAATATTAAGGGTGGTTGTTAACAATGGGTCAAGTGATTTTAATTCCTTCTATAAGGTTTTCTATATTTGCCAAATTCTCTATAATTATACTTTAAAAGTCAGACACAGTTATAAGTATCTACCTAAAGTCTCCTCATCCAGACTTTTATACTCACCAGGAATAATAAAAATAAGCAGCTTAGGCCTTTTGACACTTTGATCACAAAAGAGGTCAGTCCAGGGCCCACATTTTAGAACCTGGGTTTCGGCCCCACCACACAAAATGAATTCCTCATGCACAGGAATTTCTTCCTTGAGTTCGGAGTCCATTTCTAAATAAAAGGAGAAAAGTAGTATAAAGAGTCAGTAAAATGTGAAACCTTGAGCCAAGGACAAAATTCAAGAATAAAAAAAGGGCAAATTTCAATATACCTAGAAGGAAATGCCACAAAGACATCTGGGAAACTGTAAGGCTATTCAGTGATGTTGGATTCTAAGATTGCAGGACAAATTTTAAAAAACCACAAGAGTACTTAGAAAGGAGGAGACATATCCTTGGCAATATAAAAGACTATAGAGGGGTTTGAATCAAAACCATAACTTCCACTTTCCCTCTGCTGGAATTCTCTTTTAGCTCTGTGCAGTACCACGAGACAAGTCCTCCTACCTTCACCTGGTATAAAGTGCAGAGGTTCTGACCTGTCCTTGCATTCTCTCCATAGAATAATAAGGGGGATGATGAACTCCTTATGGTCTCTTATTTCCTACTATTACTTTTGTCCCAAATTCTCTCTCTCTCTCTTTCTCTCTATCTAGCTAATTTTTTTTTTTTTTTTTTTTTTTTGAGATGCAGTCTCACTGTCGCCCAGGCTGGAGTTCAGTGGCGTGATCTCAGCTCACTGCAAACTCCACCTCCCCAGTTCAAGCAATTCTCCTGCCTTGGCCTCCCAAGTAGCTGGGACTATAGACATGCACCACCACACTCGGGCTAATTTTCGTATTTTTAGTAGAGACGGGGTTTCCCCATGTTGGCTAGGCTGCTCTCGAACTCCTGACCTAAGGTGATCTACCTGCCTCGGCCTCCCAAAGTGCTGAGATTATAGGCATGAGCCACCAAGCCTGGCTCCGATAAGCATATTTTATGTAATAAAGCACTACATTAAATTATGAAATGGATAGCTAGAAAAAAACCCAGGATGTACTATCATGAACCATTTCCTGAATATCAGTTATGTGTAAAAATGTAGGCCTGAATTATTTCTATCACTCCTCCACCTCTGCCTCTGTCAATAGATGACAATCATCTATTGACAGCACCAATCTCAAACCTTCATTGGTCTATTTTTCTCTTCCCCTCTCTTCCTCTCACTCAAAGCACTCCAGAGTTAAGATTCAAAGGGCCCTTCTAGCTTTTTCTCCTCTTACACTTTACACCAGACTTGTACTTTTTGTTTTTTGAGACAGTCTCGCTTTGTCACCCATGCTGGAGTGCAGTGGTGCTATCTTGGCTCACTGCAACCTCTGCCTTCCATGTTCAAGGGATTCTCCTGCCTCAGCCTCCTGAGTAGTTAGAGTTGCAGGCGCCTGCCATGCTTGGCCATTTTTTTTGTATTTTTTAGTAGAGATGGGGTTTCACCATCTTGGCCAGGCTGGTTTTGAACTCCTGACCTTGTGATCCACCCGCCTTGGCCTCCCAAAGTGACCAACCTTGTACTTTAGTCTTCTTGTCCTTGAATTTCCCTAGTGTCCCTATGCTTTTCTGCTTCTGTAACTTTGCTCATATTTAATTCTCCAACCATATTTAATTCTATAACTGCACTTTTTTGTGCAGTTATCAGTTTGTTGCCTTTCTACTCCAAATTCATCCTTCATTATCTTAGCTGGAAAAGTGGATCTGGGCCTTTAAAATATTTTTCCTTTGCTAGTTGACAAGATGCTAAGCTCTGTCAATAGAGTGCACTGGAGAGGCTCTGCAGAAAGAAGGAGTTTTCTCAGCAGGTTTCTGGAGAGCTTATATTTTACCCTCTCTACTGTTCCACTGCTGTAAGATTTCTCTATTGCAGTGGTTCATAACTAGAGACAATTTTCCCTTAGAGGACATGTGGCAATATCTGGAGCTATTTTCCATTGTCACAACTTGGGGAACTACTGGGATACAGTGAATAGAGGCCAAGGATGAGAGCTAAATATCATACCACACACAGGACAGCTTCCCACAACAAATAATTATTCAGCCCTGAAGGTCAATAATGCCAAGGCTGTAAAACAACACTATACTAGGTGTCTACAGGGGAAAGCATTCTCCAGCATCTAGCTAGCTGCTGTGTGCTTTTTCTCCAGCCCTCTACTCAGGTAGCAGCAGCACTATAGCCAGGCGCCCCAGACCAGGTGGCTACTCCCTATCCCCTCTCCTTAGCCACATGCACTGGCTTAGCCAGCCAGTCCCCTGACCTTTGTTCCACACAGCAGCTTGGTATATTGCCCTGCCCCAAGCTGTACACAACAGTCCTCCAGACTGCTACACAGGGAGGTCTCTCTGACTTGCAACTCCAGTAGTACCTAAAGTGGTGCTCCAACTCCCTCTACTCACTAACCAACCTCAACTCACTTGCACCCCAAGGACTGTTACTGTGGCCCTCCTAACAGACACCTGTGCTCCATGCCTCAGCCCTGCAGCGCTGCCCTGATTCCCTCTGCATGCCCTCCTACCAGACTTGGCTTACCTGCTGACATTGTGATTGTGCAGCACCTTTAACTCAGGCAACCCAGCAAATTTCTCTCCCATCCAATGGGTCATAACCATATTTTCAATGAGGTCTGAACCCTCATTTCAATTATGTCCTTCGTTGGGTACTTTTCTTCAGCCCTAGGGTACCTTTTAGAGTTCTCTTTATAGAGTGACTTCGTGGTTTTTCTCCTATCAAACACTAATAATTCTTTAGGTTAAATTAACAATTTTAGTTACTATATGGCTTCTGTCTCCTGGTTTGATCCAGACTTATAAATCTCTCATGTGTCTGCAAATTTTTCTTTATAAATTTTCCCACATTATACACAGCTCAAATTCTACTTCTTACATGAAGACTTCCTTGAGCACCCCAGGTATATAAAGGAAATCACCTCTTCCTCTAAACTTACAGCATCTGTCTTTATTATAAGGTAGCAGTGGTAAAGGCACACAACTAAGCTTCACCTGGTAAAATCTGTTATGTCATGTCATGCCACACTTTCCCACAGCACCACAGTCAAGCAATTGATGCAAGGGCTACGTGTCCCTCCCCAGATTTGCCTTATGAACATCATAAGGCAAACGCAATGCTGGCTAGGATACAGTGAAATGGAAAATTCCACACATTGATGGTAATAATGAAAATGGCTTTGTGAAGCAATCTGGCAGCATGGATCAATACTCATAAAAGGTATAAACTTTGATTCAGCCACTCAATTTTAAAAAAACCTAAAGTATTTTCTTTTAAGACTGATGCATGGAATGCTAATTCTAACAGTGACAAGCTGAAAAACCTAAATTAATTGATGAATGGTTAATTATGATAAACCATTATCATATACTAAAAAATTATATATATGACTTAATATTAGGGACTAATTAAATAAATTATAACTCAATATAATGATCAAATATTATGTTCCATCAAACTGCTCTGCTAAGTTGGTTATAATTTATGCATTTCTCTTCTAACATTTCTAAAATTTCACTTCTCTAGCCTGATGTTATATTGCCTCTTCCATTCTCTTTGTTTATTCCTTTATTGTTTATTCTGTCAATTTAGTGACTTTAGGAAGAAGAAATAAGCATATTTATTCTAACCTCTATGTTTAGCCAAAAGTCCAAAACTGATTTTCTTAAGAATACTTAGAAAAATGAAAAATCCTCACTTAGAAAGTGGAGACCCCTGTCCATTAAAAATTTATGGACTAAATAAAGTATCACTTCATCTTTTCTTATGGATTGATTTTTTACTTCACTAATAAATGTCAGTGCAGCCCAATCTCCAAAACTATCACAAACTACATTTTTAGTATTTATTTACTATATAAATAAATACATACTCACATAAGTTCTGATCTTTATAATGTGTTAGAAACAATATTGGATTTAGCTATAAATACAGTATTAAATTAGAGCACTGACTGAGAAGACATTGGCCAAACTGAATACTTTCACCACAAGAGAATTTAAAGTTATTCACTATAAAGTTGTTAACTATATTCAAATTATAAATATCAATACTTAACTTCAAGGAAATGACATCTTGGTAGTTTGATTAGCCACAAAATCAATGAGAACTCAAGTGGATATGAAAATCAAGCTCAGTCTATAAAAATTGGAAAACAAAAAAGTACAACTCTAACACCTCAAATAAAATACAACTAAGAAATATGGAATTAACATATGTATTTATAAAGCATCTTTTATTTTGTTTCACTCTCATATTTCTGAATCTCACACAACCAAATAAAAGCAGCAAAGCAAAATCCGAGGCACAAGAATTCAAACTCTTCCTTACCTATGAATCCAAGGTAGTTCAGTTCCACAATAAGTGTCAGATTACCAAAGGACAGTATGTGATAATTATATATTGTTAAAGGATAATGGCACGCCTTCAGCCTCAGCCTATAAGCAATCTTTAATAAAATAAATTTTGGAAAGAGCAAGACTTGTGTTGGATAAAAACCAAGTGTGGATACAATTTGTGCAATTTAGGCAAGCCTATTTTCCCAAATATACGTTTTAACTTGCTTAACAGGCTTCTAATTTTATTTAGTAAGAGATTTTTTTTCCAATTAAATCTCACACAAACCTAGATAATTTGACTATTATAAATTTCAGAGGTTCAAATTTATAATATTTATTTTAGTTTTTATAAATACATAAAGTCATGGGTTGATTTATTTATATGTTTAAATATATACTTAATATACATTAAGTGATTCTATGTTTATAAATATTTATAATATTTATTATAAAATTAGCTATTGAGAACAGCAAGACTACACTAATAAATATTTGAAAGTGAAGTTATAAATAATACATCTTAATCGGCTTCAGCCTCCAAATAATTGGTATATAACACAGGTGAGTCTGAAAGTTATTTTAAATAAGAGTTTTTAATTTTTAATTTAAAATGTACATTAGAATTAAGTTTGAATCTGCTTTAGCAATGACAGATTAAATTGCTTCCAAATAATCTTCCATTGAGAACAATTAGAAAAGCCAGAAAAACTTTTTAAAAATTTGTTTAAAAATATCAGTAACCATTGAAAGAATCAAGACTGTGTAACAAATTAATATAGAAAATAATTAATATAGAAATAAGCAGAAAACAGAGAAGCAATAGAGAATAAAAAATATGACATAAAATGTATGAAATGCAGATAAAGATATGAATACAGGAAAATTCAAAGTTTTGAAATGCATATATTCAAAAACCAGGATGCAAATAAAGGATTTAACCGTTTGGCTTAAGGAATTAGAAAAAATAAAATAGAAAAAAGACAATAATGAAGAATAGATATTAATAAAATAGGAAAAAAGTTTACATCAGGGAGGATTAGCAAACCCAAATATTTGTACTTTGAAAAGACCTATAAATAAGTAAACACTTGACTCTTCAAGAAGAGAGATGGCACAATCAATTACTATCAGAAGTGAAAAAAGGACATCACTCCAGATTCTACAGACATCAAAAAATAATAAATATTATGAAGAAATGTATGCTGATAAACTTGACATGGTTAAATTTTTTAAAAAAAGCCCAAATCCAACAGATACAAAAAGACTAGAAGACTCTTAATAGACTTATATCTTAAGACACTGAATTCATAATTCTTGGTCCACATGAAATTAACACTTAGGAAGAAATATTACCAATTTTACATAGAGTTGTCCAGAGAATAGATAAAGAGGGACCACCTCCCAATTCATTTTATGAAATCAGCAAGGCTTTATAATTTTTAGTTTAAAATGTACATTAGAATTAAGTTTGAGATAGATGTAAAAACTAAATCTAGTGCTATATAAAAGGGTAATAGATGACAACCAAATTGTGTATATACCAGAAATGAAAAGTTGTTTAAATATTCAAAATTTAATCAGTTGAAGTTATGACATTAACAGGGTAAAGAAAACTTATATAATCATCTCAACTGATACAGAAAATATTTCATAAAATCCAATACAGGGAGGGGAACATCACACACTGCCGTCTGGCGGCGGGGGAAGGGAGGGACAATGGGGGGGTGGTGAAGTCGGGGAGGGATAACATGGGGAGAAATGCCAGATGTAGATGACAGGGGGGATGGAGGCAGCAAACCACATTGCCATGTGTGTACCTATGCAAAAATCTTGCATGATCTGCACATGTACCCCAGAATATAAAGTACAAAAAAAAAAAATCCAATAGTCACGAAAAAAATTCTTAAAAAGTGAGAAATAAAGAAACCTTTTTTTATAAAATATAAATATGAAATACATACTTTTCATATAATACAAGTATCAAAAACCTTCAGTAAATGTTTTACTAAGGGTAAAATATTGAAAACCTCTCTGAGTTTGGGATCAAGATATAGAGGTCTGCTATCCACTCTTTTATACTTGAGGTCTTAGCCAATGCAATAAGATACCAAAAAAAGACATAAATGTATTTAGATTGGATAGAAAGAATGTGTTATTATTCACAAACATGATGATATACAGAAAATGTGAAAAAAAAAACCTTTATATATGCACTATTTGAAGAAATAAGTCAATGAAACATTGTCCTTAGCTAAAAGGCCAATATATGAAAATCAAATATATTTGTATATACCAGCAACAAACAATTTGAAAATAAAAAAATTTTTAAAAGACACCACTTATAACAGCATCAAAAAAATCAAATACTTAGGAATAAATCTAACAAACGATGCGCATGACTTCTACACAAAAAGCTATATAGTTTGCTGGATATTACTGACAGAAATTAAATAATGAGGGGAAAATCATATTTGTGAACTCGAAGATTCAGTAGTATAAACTCCAAATTAATTCTTAGATTTGTAAAATTCCAATCCAAATCAGGTTTTTTCCCTTTCCTTTTTTTTAAAAATGAAAATTAGACAGCTAATTCTAATATGTATATGGAAGTGTAAAAAGTCAAAAATACCCAAGAGAAATTTGAAGAACACCCACAAAGCTGGAGGACTTTACCCTGTATCCAGGTTTAACAAAAATATACCATTATTAAATACAAAGACAAAACAGGCAAAACGGTACACAAGAACAGGGAATCCAGAAACAAATCCAAACATATATGTTCATGATTTATGACAATGGTATTCTTGCAAAGGAGTAAGGAAAAGAAGGTCTTTTAAATAAATGATGCTGGTTCAACTGGATATCCATGTGGAAAATAAATGAATCTTGACTCCTATCTCACATCATAGACAAAATATAGTACTAGGTATATTATAGATCTAAATGTGAAAAGTGAACAATAAACAAAAGATAATATTAGAACATACCTTTATGAGTTTAGGGTGGTCAAAGGTTTCTTAAACAAGGTAATAGTACGCATTAGCCATAAAGGAAAAGACTTCCAAATTGCATCCTTCATTAGAATTAAGCACTTGTATTTAGTAAAAGACACTATTAAGAGAGTCAGAAGGCAAGTCACAGAGTGGGAGAACACTATACACACACACACACACGTATAGTATTCTGAATACAAACCTGTTGTTGGGAAATATATACACATAGGATATAAAATACAGATTTTTCTCACAACATGTACATATCCAGAATTCACAAAGAACTACAAATCAGTAAGAGACAACTCAATAGAAAAATGGGTAAAGTATTTGAAGAGGCACTTCACAAAAGAGAATATCAGGTAGCCAATAAACATAAAGGTTTTCTAGAAGAGTAAAAGAATACTGATACAGAAACTATAAAGAAAATACCATTCAGGAAGGAGGCTGATTTACTGGATATGTATAGGCCAGTACTGGAGCTATCCTACTGTTCACTATAAAGGCCTTGAATGGAAAGGTAAAAAATTAGAAAACCTGATTCCACAAAAAGGTTTTCCAAGAAACATGTATCACAAGCTACTAGTTACTATACTTAACAAAGTGTTCTCAGGAAATATTGGGTGTTCCAGTTACTCTCGCCACCTGAAATATTACTTCAAAACTTAGTGGCTTAAGACAACCACTTACTATGCTTATGGATTCTGTGGGTCAGGAATTCAGAAAGGGCACAACGAAGATAGCCTGTCTTTGATCCAAAGTCTGGGACCTTAGCTGAGAAAACTCAACAGCTGGAGGCAGTGATTTCATCACTTGGGCAGAAGTCATCTGGAAGTATCTTTATTCATATGCCTGGTGACTGATGTTGTTGTCTTGACTGATGTTGGCCTGGAACACCTGCATGTGCCTTCTCCATTTGGCCTGCTAATATGGGCTACTTTAGGCTTCTTCAGAAAATGGTGGCTGGGTTCCAAGAGCAAATGTCTCAAGAGTACCAGATTGAAGTTGTATCACCTTTTACGACCTGCCCTCAAAAGTCACATAGCATAACTTCCACGTTAGACACAAGCCCATCAATATTCAAAGGCAGCATGTTCTTTTTACAATATGACTGATGTTTCTACTGAGAGGGTCAGTAGAAGAAGTATTAAAGTCTTATTGTAAAAAGAACATGTGGTACGGGAGTTACTATTGTGGCCATCTTTGGAAAACACAATCTGCAAAGTTAAGTTAAACACAAAGGCACATAAGCTTTAGTTCTGCAGAACTTTTTCAAAGTACACTGATAAGAACTGAGAATGTTGAAGGGGGGGACATAGCATACAACACGGGTCCACAACCCCAGGCCATGGACCAGAACTGGTTACGAATGGGTCACATGGCAGGACGTTAAGTGGCGAGCAAGCATTGCTGCCTGAGCTCTGCCTCCTGTTAGATCAGTGGTGGCATTAAATTCTCATAGGAACACAAACCCTACTGTGTGAACTGTGCATATGAAGGATCTAGGTTGTGTGCTTCTTATGAGAATCTAATGCCTGATGATCTGAGGTGGAACAGTTTCATCCCAAAACCATCATCCCCACTCCTCACCATTAGTGGAAAAATTGCCCTCCACGAAACTTGTCCTTCATGCCAAAAATGCAATCTTTTAAAAACTGATTTGACCATATTTCATCAAAGGTGATCCTACTAATCTCTCTCATTAATGTCTCATCTCCTACCTCAGAATAGTTTGGGAAAATGTTAGAGGAAAGGGAATCCAGTGGCTTTTAAAAGGGAGAGGGATTGGATTAAACTAGTTCTTTTAAGAAGACTATGAAAGACAGAAAAAAACCCACAAGACTACACTAGAGTTTGGAAGCTATCAAAATCATCTTGCTTAGATTGTTTTGATAATAATCAAACAAATATAGGCAAGAATGGGAATGAAAAAGGAGTGAATGAGAGTCTAAAGTCTTGGTAATGATATGGAGAACGAGGGAAGGGAAAGGTGTAGATATGACAGATTTTGATGCCAAAGACAAGGGGAATGAAGTGCTACTCACATACATGTAGTGGGAAATACAAAAGGAGGGGAAGTTAGTGGGAGGGAAGGAAGCTGGGATTAGTTACAAATATAGTTTAAGTTTCAAGAAAATAAAGAACAAGGCCAGAAGACAATGTGAACCACGGAACTAAAGCTCCAGAGAGAACAAAGTAGACACAGTTTCTCTGGCTGCTTCTTAAACAACTCCTCTATCCTGGCTTCAATGCCACTTCCAGTCCTCATTGAGAGCCTTTTCCTCCCCTATTCCCTGTTCCCAAAGGTTCTACCCTGGGTTCCCTTCTCTATATGCTCTCCCTTGGAGATTACATCCACTTTGAGAATTAGCCATGTGAAAGAATCCTTATATCTACTTCTCAAGCTCCTATCCTGATTTTCCAACTATTGAGCATTTTCATCTGGGTGTCTCATTAATACATACAACTTTTGCATGGCAAATATAAAAATCATCTTGTTTTAAAAATCAACCCTATCATCATAACTTCTCTGCTGCCATATAGAAAACTACTATTTTCCCAGTCACCCTAATTCAAAAGTTTCTTTGGGCTGGGCACAATGAGTCACGCCTGTAATCCCAGCACTTTGGGAGGTTGAGGCAGGTGGATCATGAGGTCAGGAGTTCAAGACTAGCCTGGCCAATATGGTGAAACCGTGTGTCTACCAAAAATATAAATAAATTAGTCAGGTGTGGTGGCAGGTGCCTGTAATCTTAGCTACTTGGGAGGTTGAGGCAGAATTGCTTGAACCCAGGAGGTGGAGGTTACAGTGAGCCGAGACCATGCCACTGCACTCCAGCCTGGGCAACAGAGCAAAATTTTGTACCCCCCAACCCCTGCCAAAAAAAAAAAAGAAAGAAAAAGCTTCTTTGACAACTCCTGCTATATTTTGGGAGCAATATCCATAGGTAAGGAAAAAAAGATATTAGCAAAAGAATAAAAAGGAACAATTAGAAATAGGCATTAACTAAGACATGTAAAGTAATCTAAGCCAGCGAGGAGTGTTTCAAGAAAGTTGTGGGATGGTGATAAAGTTTTAAAAATAGATATTAATAAATGTCCAAGAGCATAAGAACCAAGGCGACAGTAAGAACTAACATCTGATAGTGCTTTCTGTAAGTCAGGCACTCTGTTAAGCACTTCACAGATATTATCTAAATTTAATCCTGATGACAACCCTATGAGACGGGTGCTATTATTTCATCCTCCTACCCCAAGAAAATATGTGAAGAGAAAACTGATTGAAAGACATTAAACAATTTGCCTAAGTCACACAGCTAGAAAGTTATAAACTGTCAGAGTCAGAATCAGAGTTTGAACACAGAAATGTCTGAAAGATTCCACAGCTCATGTTCTTTATTTTTAAAATTTTACTTCTATGCATACATATAATTTCATGATATACAATGCATGCTGTGATTTTTATAAATAATTATTGTTTAATCTTTTGCATTATGCCTCCACTCTACCTCTACTCCTTACCTCCATTCATATCACCCCCAAACCCAAGTTATTAACTTAGTATAAAGTCTTCCATATTCTTCTATAATTACACACAAATATATATTAAGCATTTATGTATTTTTTCATGAGTTACCAGTGTTTGACAAATAGTAGCATATTATATACACTTCAATGCACTTTGCTTTCATACTTAATAACATATGGATACCCTGCCAAGTCAAAGAGTTTATATAACTAATTCATTTTTTAATAGTTCCATAATGTGGACATACCATAATTTATATGACCATCTCCCTGTTGCCAAGCATTCAATTAGCTCCCGGTTTTTTCAGAACAATGAGCAATAAGTATGCTTAAATATCCATGTTCTTACATATATTCACATCTACCAGTGCTTTCATTATTATAGGCCAGTTTGCCAAGTGTAAAATTACTGGTTGAAATTTAATAGATCTTGCTAGATTATTCTCAACAAAAGAATGTAATTCTTTTAGCAATATAGAAAGTTATCTTTGCCTCTACAACCCTATCATCATTAAGTGATACCACTGTTTCTAAGTCTTACAGTCTTTGGATATAAAATACCTTACTCTTTAATTTGCATTTCACTGACTACAAGTGTGTTTAAGCATTTTTTTTTCACATTTGTTAGCTTTTTAGACTATCTTTTCTGTAAATTTTCTCTTCATATCATTTGCCCAGGTTCCAAGTGAGTTATTTATCCTTTTCTTATCACTCTGTAAGAAAACTTTGTATAAGGCAGATACTAACTCTTTTCTGGTCTTCTATATTGCTTCCCAGATATTTTAATTTTTATCAATTTCTACTTCTAAACATTTCATCCAGTATATAAGGATCCAGCTTTTTTTCTTTTACATGGAAATCTACTGTGTTAATACCATTGAAATACAGAAACCATCTTTTCCTCCACTAAATTAACATATTTTTTTTTAATGCATTAACTTTTCATACTTACTGAGAAACAGTTTTTGAATCACAATGTTATACTGTCAGTGAGCCTGGCACTGGGGTCCATGGTTTATTTTTAATTATATCATAGGGATAGGAATCAAACTGATAAACCTCAGCAGTCAATATGGCCACTGAACGTTACCTGTTTTACTTAATTTTTGTTTTTTCTTAGATTTATCTCATTTGTCAACTATGTAAAATCTTCAGTATTCTTCAAGGGAAAAGAAAGGAGAAAAAGGTTTTGTTTTCTTAAATTTATTTTTATTATTTTTTTTTGGAGATAGTATCTCACTTTGTTACCCAGGCTGGAATGCAGGCTCACAATCTTGGCTCACTGCAGCCTCAACCTCCTGGGCTCAAGTGATCCTCCTTCCTCTGCCACACAAGTAGTTGGACTATAGGCACACACCACCAGGCCTGGCTAACTTTTTGTTTTTTTGGTAGGGATGGGGTTTTGCCATGTTGCCTATGCTGAAAGAAAGGGCTTTTAAAATCTGAGACTATATGACAACTTTAAAAGTTTTAATGAAGTAAATATAAATTTTTCATTTCATCTTCATTCCTAGTTTCTTTTTGCTAAAGTTTCAAAATTCCTTCTTTTACCTGTCAGTGAGATACTACAGATGATTTTTAATTTACTAAGGCCTATATTATCTTCTCTAATTCCTTCCCATTTCCCTTTTATTAGTCTCTCTAACAAGACAAAAAGAGAAGACCTGTTTTACCTGAGACAAAAAGAAAAAAATTTCTATCTGTTAATTCTTCATCTGCTAATTACAGAGACAACTTTGCAGCAAAGGTTTAAAGTCTTGAGTAACATTAGTCCATAAATACAAATAACCTAAAACTGTTATTAGTTTTTCCAAGGAAGTCCATGTATATCGAAAGTAGCTCTCCTTGAAGGATGAAATGTTTTAAAAAACAGTTGTAAATAACCAAAAATAGTTATAAAATTGAAAAAATACTAATTAAAATTAAAAACTTGCTGGATGTGCTCAGTGGTGGAGTGGAATTGACAGAGAACAGGATGAGTGAACTTGAAAACAGATCAACAGAATTCACTCAGTCTGGACAGAGAAAAACAGACAAAGAAACAAGCAGGGCATCAGGGACTTGTAGGACAGTAACAATCAGAGTTCTAGGGGAAGAGAGAACATACGGTGCTGAAAAAATTAAGACATAATAGCTGAAAACTTCTCAATTTGACAAAATACATAAATCTACAGAGTCAAGAAGCTGAGAAAACCCCAAGTAGGAAAAAAAAAAAAAAACGAAATACATCATAAGTCAAACTTTAGAAAACTGACAACAAAGAAAAAATCTTAAAAGCAGCCAGAGAGAAATGACACATTACCTTTAAGGTGAACGATAATTTGAATGCCATCAGATTTATCATCCGAAACCATAGAGGCCAGAAAGAAATGGCACTTTTTTCAAATGTTAAAGAAAAAGAACTATCCAGGCCAATTCCATATAGAACAAAAGCATCCTTCAGGAACAAAGGGGAACAACATTCTCAGATGATGGCAACTAAAATAATTTGTCACTATGGACATATCCTTAGGAAGTTCTCCTAAAAGAAGAAGGAAATGATGCATGAATAGGGTTTAATTTGAGTAAAGGAAGAATACTGAATTAGGTAATAGTAGTGGTAAATATAAAATCAACTATTCTTCCGCTCTTGAGTTTTTAAATCATATTTGATAGTTGAAGTAAACGTTATAACAACATTTGATGGGTGTTCAAGGTGTGTATAGAAAATACAACTACTAAATTTTAAGAAGGGAAAGGGTAAAAGGACCTAAATGGAAGTAAGATCCTTATATTTCAATTGGCAAACAGCAATACAAGCAACCCTTGTGATAAGTTATTATGTTTATTGTTATACCCAAAGCACACTAAAAAAGGTTAACTAAGCCAGATAGTCAAAAACACTATAAACACATCAAACAGAATTCTGAAAATATTCAGGCAACCTATAGAAAGACAAGAAGAGGAACAGACATGAAAAATAGGAAATAAACAGAAAACAAATAATAAAATGGCTGGCTTAAGCTCTAACACATCAACAAATACTTTTAAGTGTAAATGATATGATTATACCTGTTAAAAGCCAGAGATTGGCAGAATACCTTCTTTTTTTAAAGACCCAAGGATATAGCGTTCATGAGAAATTCACTAAAACATAATGACATTGGTAGGCTGAAAATACAAGTACAGAAAAGATATGTCAGGTTAGTTTTTTTTAAGTAGGGACGGCTATATTACTAGCAAATAAAGTAGACTTCGGAGCAAGGAAAAATATTGTACAAAGATAAAAGGATTAATTCATCATGAAAACATCTTAAATGTATGTGTACCAAACAACAGATATTTAAAACACATGAAGTCAAAACCAACAGAGCTAAAAGGAAAAACAGAGATATTCATAATTATAGTTGGGGCCCTCAGCAACAAAAATAACTATTAGACAGACAACAAGGCAGAGAAGAACTGAACAATACCATCAACAAACAGAACATAACTGACATGTATAGAAACTTGCAACCAACAATAGCAGAATACATATTTTTTTCAAGCATACATGGAACATTCACCAAGATATACCATGCCCTCCGTCATAAAACAAATTTAAAAATTAAAAATTATACAGCTTATGTTTTCTGATCATTGTGGAAAAAGGTAGAAAATCAACAGGTAAATCTTCAAATACTTGGAAACTAAATGACATACTCCTAAATATTTTCATGGATCAAGGAAATTTCGAAGGAAAAATTTACAATATATAGAAATGAATGGAAATGAAAATACAAGACAGCAAAATGTGTGAGATGCAACTAAAGCAATGCCAAGAGGGAAATTATAGCAATAAATGCTTATATTAGAAACAAAGAAAGATCTTAAACTAACAATCACAGAATTAGATAAAGAAAAGCAAAATAACAGTGAGATGGAAGAAAATAATAAATATAAGAGCAGAAATCAATGACATTGAAAATAGAAAAATAAAGATGAAATAGTTAGTTCTTTGAAAAAGATCACTAAAATCAGCAAACCACCACTGTAAAAGATAAAATGACACAAATTACTAATGTAGTAGCAATAACGAAACAAGGGTTATCACTAAAAACCACATAGAATACTGTTACTCTACCAAAGTCTGACAAAGGCAGTACAAAAGAAACCAGCAAAAAACTACAACACACCTCTCATACCTATACCTTAACAAAATATTAGCAAATAGAATATAGAAATATATGAAAATTATTTACCATAACCAAGTGAGATTTATACTAGTTATGTTCAACATTTGAAAATCAATGTTAACTCACCATATCAACAAGCTAAAGAAGTATTAATTCACTAAACATATATTTACCATATGATTTAGCAACTGTACTCTTGGGCATTTATCCCAGAGAGGGAAAAATGTATGTTCACTCAAAAACCTTCACATAAAGGCTCATAGAAGCTCTATTTATAATAGAGTAACCCAAACGTCCTTCAATGAATGAGTGGTTAAACAAACTGTTGCACAGCCATCCCATGGAATACTACTCAGCAATAAATCCTTGAAATAACAAAATTATAGAGATAGAGTAGTGGTTGTCATGGGTTAGGAACATGGTTGGGACAAGATAGTTTGACTATAAGGAGGCAGCATAAGGGAGCCTTGTAGTGATGGAATTAATTCCTTAACTTGATTATAGTAATTATAAGAAGCTACACAGCTTGTGTGAGACCTGTGTACACACACAAATGAGTCCTTATAAAGCTAGGTGAAATGGAAATATACTCTGTGAATTGTATCAATGTCAATTTCCCAGTTTTAATATTGTACCATAGTTATTCAAGATGTTACCATCAGGGGAGGTGGGCTGAAGGGTACACAGGAACATCCCTGTAAAGTTTTTTGCAACTTCCTGTGAATATGCAATTATTCAAAATAAAAAGGTTAAAAAATTATTAGTAATTATATACATATTTAATTGCAATTGGTATAAGTGGTATGAAAGGAGAAAATTGGAAATCTTAGTACATAGCCCTACGTACACTTGAAAACATACAGGTGAAAGTCAACATAATATAGATGATACATAAACAAAATTTTTTTTACAGTCTGCTTTAACTATTTGATTGTCACATCTTTCTCCAGAATAACATGTAAGAACAAGTAATTGTTTTCTGTATCCTGACCTGATCACCATCTGGCCCCTTGCAACAAAACCACTGCTTCTCACTTCTTTTCATTTGGAAATTATATTCTTTTCCTTTCTCAATTATATTCTTTTTAACGAGACTAAAAGGTACATAATTAATAGAACAAGAAATTGAAGGTCAAAGATGTTTACTTTTTTTTGTTTTGTTTTATTTTTTTGAGATGGAGTGTTGCTCTGTCACTCAGCCTGGAGTGTAATAGCAGGATCTTGGCTCACTGCAACCTCCACCTCTCAGGTTCAAGTGATTCTCCTGACTCAGCCTCCAGAGTAGCTGGGACTACAGGCACCCACCACCATGCCTGGCTAATTTTTATATTTTTAGTAGAGATGGGGTTCGCCATATTAACCAGGCTGGTCTTGAGCTCCTGGCCTTGTAATCTGCCTGCTGTGGCTTCCCAAAGTGCTAGGATTACAGGTGTGAGTCACGATGCCTGGTCAGATGTTCACATTTTTTTGTTCAAGGTCATAAGCGTTTAAGTGGCAAAATAAATTCTACAGTCTTCTGAGACCTATTCCAATATTTTCCAGTCACATATTACTTTGAAATATTATATAACACTAAAGAACCCCAAAAAAACAAACTGCAAAATATTGTAAACGAAAAGTCCAAGTGAAAATGAGTATATGTTACACCAAGATTCTGTGTAGTTGTCTTTGCTCCTGGTTGTGAGACGAGCAATTTCACAACTTTTTAAAAATGACTTTCACATTTCACCTACTTTTGCTACAATTGCTATCTGAATGACTGCACACTAACCCCAGTGAGATTCTTCTTTGTGCAAGTGGGTCACAAAATCAAGCTTAAATAATGAAGATAAAATCCATGACTACTGCTGAGGACATATTAAAAACTAAAGCACACACTACACTCACTATTAACTTGCTGAATTATCTTTACCTGAAAAAGGCAATTTGTTTTGCACAACTCCTTTGCTACGTCTAAGGTGGCAACTGTGACATCAAACTTTCTTGTAGTCTCAGAAGACTGTAGAATCACACACATTTTTTTTAATGTGCCAGAGAGCAGCTTTCAGCTCCTGGACATCAGTTAAAGCCAAGAATTTCACAAGCGTACAAACTACTTATCTATATTAAATACACTCATTAGAAATAATACACTAATTTCACTCTGGTTGAAGCATACTTAAAGTAGACCAGAATTAAGTGCTTAACCTTAAATATATTCTATGGTAATACTATAAGGGAGAAAAGGCTGAAAGTAGAGCAATATTTTAACAAAGAAAAAAGTCCTTCAGTCTAAAGGCATTAAGTTATCAAAAAGCAAAATATTAAAATACAAAATTTAGATGGGCACCCACCGTGTTGCAATGATTGTCCCCTAGAATGTTACATGCTGGAAGGAGGGGCCTTAGCAGGTTTCCAAGCCTTTCACCTTTAGATGGAAAATGGGGAAACGCACAACAAAGACACTCCTATTTACAGTTTCAGAAAGAAGTTTAATTAAAAAAAAACAGCTTTTGAGAATAAACATTCTGGAGATGTTCCTAAATCTTCCGGGTTTCTTTTGGTTGTATCTCTCTACACAGATTTGTTCTTCCAACTAAAGGACTGCCAACTCTTCCAGTGTTTGGCAGACAGGACACAAAGCAGGTGTCCGGTAACTACTTGCAAGGGAAGACACGAATCAAGGAATAAAGTGTTCCAATATGCATCCTGTCTTACGTGGGAAACAAAACCAAACTAAAATCCAAGGGAGAGTTTACAGTTAAGGTCTTCGGCGTGAATAAAAGGCGGCGGGCGTGAGCACTAAACGCCGGAGGCAAAGAACATTCCCGGCCCAGGGTTTGACCCCTCCTAGCCATTTCTTCCCGGTCGGTTGCCCAATCTTTTGGCCTCTACTTCACCATGCGGGTGCCATAGGACTCCCCCACAGGTGGGCTGCACTTGGAGGTTCGAATGCTGCATTCCCGCGCTCGGGGGAGCCACTGCCCGGCCTGCAGCTAAAAGGACTCCCAGGCCAAGTAGCTCCGAACCCGTGAGCTGTCGGTGCAACATTATTCTCGCTGCTACGGACCATCTGTTCCAGGGCAACAGGGGCTCCGTAACGAACCATAGAGAAGAGGGAACGCCAGATCCCACGTGCCTGCCCGCCCGTCCTTCCTTTGGGCAGTCACCCTAATCACGAGAAACTGTACCTCACCTGTCCGCCTACTAGGTAGCCGGTTCTCGTTGAGGGTTCTGGGAAGACTGCACGGTACCGGAAGAGCCGGCTTCCGGTGACGTCACAGCACCGCGCCGCAAAGCTGATCCTGGAAGCCGATCTCAGCCGGGCGCGCGGCGCACAGCGGGCTGGGGCTTGTCTGACTATGGCTTGGAACCTGTGGTCCAGATTTGGAGAGACCTCTCGGAGGATGTAGGGGTTTTCCCTTTATCATTTGAATTTTATCCGCCTTTTATTTTCTGTTATCCTTGATATACTTCTGGCTTCCCTTCCCTTCTCTCTCATTTGTTCTCCATGTCTGCCCCTCCTTTCCTGCTTCCCATTTCCCTCTTTTTGCATTAACAGTAGTAGCATATTATCCCCACATACACAGCAAAGTTGATTCTCATTTGACCATGTTCATAAGCATAATCAATAAAGTATTTTTAAATTAAGGTATTGCCAAGTTTAAGTAAGAAGATTCAGAAAATACGATTAAGTGTAGAGTTATTTGGGCTCAGTGGTTGAGAATGGCCACTCAGGAGCGTAGATTCCAGTTGTCTTGAATATACACACCAATTACCAGCAGTCACAGTAGGTTTTAAGGAAAGAAGAAGAAGCAGATCTTAACTTGTTTACCAAGAAGTTGCATTTAAAAAACATAAGCTCTTGACTGGCTATGCTTTCTTCCTTGCATCACAAATTCTAGGAACATAATGGGTGAAGCAGCTAGTCAAGAACAAAATGCCTTTAAACAATTTCCCTTAGGCATGGGAAGGCATGGCCAAAGCCTGGTATTCACATCTGTCTGGGTCTAGTAAATTTTGCATGCTTCACATAGCTCAGACTGCTGTGACCTATTTTTGTTTTCCTAGTGTGTACATTTTTTAGACATAATGCTGTTGCACACAATAGTCTACAGTACAGTGTAAACATAACTTTTATATGCACTGGGAAACCAAAAACTTTGTGTGAACTGCTTTATTGTGATATTTGCTTTATTGTGGTAGTATGGAACTGAACCCCCAATATCTTCAAGTTATGCTTGGATTTTTAAAAAAGAGGTTTATTTAGCTCATGGTTCTGCACATTGGAAAGCTCAGGGGGCATGGTGCCAGCATCTGCTCAACTTCTGGTTAGAGTTTTTTGTGTGGTGTCACAACATGGCAGAAGGTCAAAGGGGGAGCTAATACATGTGCAAAGGGACCAAACAGGAGGTGGAAGCTCACTGTATAACAACTCACTCTCTCAGGGACTCTCTCTTTTCCAATCTCTCAAGAGCTGTTATAAAACCAAACTGGGGTTCAATCTCCCTGTGCGGCAAGGCCAAATACCAATGTGAGGATTGTAGTGAAAGAAAGTGAGGCATTTATTGTAGGGTGCCAAGCAAGGACAATTGGGCAGTTAGTACTTAAGTCTTGAGCTCCTCAGTTGTTTATTGGTTATGGTTTTTGTTTGTTTGGTTGGTTTTGAGATTGGAGTCTTGCTGTGTAGCCCAGGCTGGAGTGCAGTGGCACACTCTCAGCTCACTGCAACCTCCGCCTCCCGGGTTCAAGCGATTCTCCTTCCTCAGCCTCCCGAGTAGCTGGGATTACAGGCACACAGCACCACAACCATCTAATTTTTGTATTTTTAGTAGAGATGGGGTTTCATCATGTTGGTCAGGCTGGTCTCGAACTCCTGACCTCATGATCCACCCACCTCAGCCTCCCAAAGTGCTGGGATTACAGACATGAGCCACCATGCCTGGCCATAGGTAAGGGTTTTTAAAGGGAGGGGTGCAAGAGGTTTTGGACAAAGTCATAAATGAATATATGGAAGTTGTATTATTGGTTTAACTTAAAAATACAGTGAGGTAGGAGGCAGGACTTGGACACCAGACCAAATTGAGGACTAACTAAAACAGGGCCAGGGAGGAAGCAGCTTTCCATAAGACATACCCACCATGGTGTCATGTCAATTTATCATTGCCATGGCAACAGCCAGGAGTTAATGCCCCCTACCATGGCAACAACCCTACAACCCAGAAGCTACCACGCTTTTCCTAGAAATTTCTGCATAATCCACCCCATAATTTGCCTGTAATTAAAAGTGGCTAAAAATATGACTGAAGAACTGCCTTTGAGATGCTACTCTGGACACACTGCCTATAGGGTAGCCTTGCTCTGCAAGGAGCAGTATCTCTGCTTCTTCTAGACACTACTACTTCTATAAAACTTGCTATTTAACACCACCAGCTCACCCTTGAATTCTTTCTTGGTGAGGCCAAGAACTCTCCTGGGCAAATCCCCAATTTGGGGCTTGCCTGCAGGACATCTCAAAGAGGGGGGGCGACAGGTCATAGGTGGATTTAAAGATTTTCTAATTTATGATTGGTTAACAAGATGAAACTGTCTAAAAATTTGAGATAAGCAGAAAAGAATGTTAGCTTGTGCTCATGGGCATGGTCTTCATAAGGCCCCTCAAGAAGAATTTTAGAACAAAGAATAGTAGTCAGAGTTTAGTCTTCAGTTCTCCCCTATTTGAGGCCTATGTGCCAGTGGATCCATTTAATGGGGACCTGGGTTTCTGAAAAACAACTTGGGACATATGTTAAGATGTTATCTTTAGTTTTTATAGGAAATAAAATATCCTGCAACATTAATTTTTTGGCTATTGTTATAAGCTATTATTATCATCTTGCTTTTAAGTTTTTATTTGTTTTTTAGGACTAACTAGATGTCTGGAATTTTTTTTAAGGGAGTCAAGATTTTTTAAATTTTCATGTTTTGGTGGAGGATCCCCAGCAAACCCTTAAGAGGGATTCTGCCCTGTCTCAGAACAAGAACTGACTTTTGCGAGAACAGCAACAATCTCTTCATGAGGGATCCACCCCATGACCCAAACATTTCCCACTAGGCCCCACTTCTCAACATCCCCACATTGAGGATCGAATTTCAGCGTGAGATTTGTTGGAGACAAACTATATCCAAACCATAATAACACATATTGTGATAAGAAATAAGCTATGGGGATCAAAATTCAGCATGAGTTTTGTTGGGGACAAACTATATCCAAACCATAACAACACATATTGTGATAAGAAATAGGCCTTTGTTGCTTAAGGCTCTGGAGGTTGTTGCTGTTGTTTCTTACCACAGTGCGACATAGCCTGTCCAGATTGATGCAGAGGGACAGCCACACAGAGATTCCTTTTTCTCCCTCTTTTGCTTTTAATTCCTAATATGCAGGGGAGAATTTCTGATTGGCTCAGCTCAGATCTTGTCTTAGTCCATTTTCTGTTGCTTATGGTAGACTACCGGAAATTGGCTACTTTATAAAGAAAAAAAATATTTCTTACAATTACAGAGGCTGAGAAGTCCCAGGTCAAGGGACTATACCTGGTGAAAGCGGTAGAGACTCTCTGAAGAGTCCTGAGGCAGCACAGGGTTTCACTTGTCCAGTGGGCTGAGTGTGCTAGCTCAGGTCTCTCTTCCTTTTCTTGAAAAGCCACCAGTTCCACTCCCACGATACCCCTTAATCTAATCCATTAACCTACTGATTCATTAATCTATGAATGAATTGATCTATCCATGAGGGCAGAGCCTTCATGATTCAGTCACCTCATCATAAAGATCCCATCTTTTAATACTCCCCATTGAGGGTTAAATTTTAATATGACTTCATAAATATATACACTTACTATGTACCCACAAAAATAAAAAATAAACTATTTAAAATAAAAATAAATAAATTTCAACATGAATGATATAGTTTGGATATGGTTTGTTTGGCTCCTACCAAGTCTTAGATTGAAATGTGGTCCCCCATGTTGGAGATGGGGCTTGGGTTTCTGAGTCTGGGTTGTGGGTGTGGATTCCTCCTGATGGCTTGGTGCCATGCTCCCAGGAGTGAATGAGTTCTTGTTGTTAGTTCACATGAGAGCTATATATACAGAGATGAGGTCTTGCTATGTATCCGGGCTGAAACTGGGTAATTTATTTTTTAAAAAAATTTATTTCTTACAGTTCCAGAGGCTGAGAAGTTTGAGGTCAAGAGGCTGAATCTGGTAAGTCCCACTCCTATGATAACCCATTAATCTATTAGCCCATTAATCTCTTAATCCATGAATGGATTAACCCATTCATAACAGCAGATCCCTTATCATCCAGTCACCAACATAGCAGGTCTGGTGTCCAGCAATCATCCAATCATTAGTGACAAGTGCTTGTGGTCATATTGACTTTTTGCAATAGGTAAGAGGATTCATAGTGAATGGGGCAGACATTCCATAAAGATGTCTACAATAATCACAGATGGCTAAAGTTGGACTACTGAAGACTGATTTAAAAACAGTAAATGAAAAACTATCACCTTTTGCATAAAAATTTTAGGCTCTCATTACTTATCCATTTTTTATTTTCTGTTACATTACAAACACTCTTCCAGGCTGGGAATACAAAGGAAACTCAAAGAGAAATGTCATTGTTCTCATAGACACAATAAACAAACTAAAGACACTCTTCCAGGCTGGGAATACAAAGGAAACTCAAAGAGAAATGTCATTGTTCTCATAGACACAATAAACAAACTAAAGAAATTAATATATAATGACAGAGCAAGGGGAATTAAAAGGCAAGGTTAGAAACAGAAAGCAAGGAATGCATTAGTTATCTCTTTATCCAACTGCACCAAAATATATGAGCTTAAAACATAAAACATTTATTATATTACACAGTTTCAAGAGGTCAGGACACCAGTAGCAGCCTAGCTGAAAGGTTCTAGCCAAGTCTTTCATGAGGTTGCTGTTAAGCTAGTTGCTCAGGGATACAGTCATCTCAAGACTCGACTAGGTCTGAAGAATTGGACTAAATTATATGGTCACACTTCCTCAGGGGCTGTTGGCCACAGTTCTTCACCGTGAAGACCTCTCCATAGTGCTGTTTGCAATATGGCAGCTTTCTTCCATCAAAGGAAGAGATAGAGGATACAGAGAGAGCACCCAACATAAAAGCCACCAGTCTTTAATAACCTAATCTCTGAATTGGCATACTGCATCATTCCCTCAGTGACATGAATCATTTATCATGT